TCGTGTTGGAATACTTCCTCGGGGCGGGATTTAGTGTCTGTGTTCTACCAGTCCTTCCCCCTTATTTCTCAAAATGGCTTCAGGCCCATTTTACCCCAAGTTTCAATTTGAATCTGCCTCTCCGTTCAGAGTCGTAAACTGACCACCTCTTTGTGTTACGTAGGTGCATACATTTGCCCTGAAGGTACTTCTTTCACAAACGAAAGCTGTTATAAAAAACAACTCATGTACTTAAGGAAATTTAAAGGTTTTTTAAATTTGAACTTCATCTTTATTGGGTAGTACCTTAATATAATTACAACTTTAAAACGTATGATGTTGGTCTGGGCTTGTATGTAAGCAAAATTGGCATAATAGGTGCCAGTCATTTTCCGACATCAGTGTTAAGCGAATGGTAATCAGAAACTGATGTGCTGTGCTTTGATTGTGTTAGGAATTCACTTATAGTTAACTTTCCCCCGCTCCAGTTGGATTATTTGAGTCAAAATCCGTAAAATCGCTAGTGAGGTAACAGATCACTCTTATTTTTATGATAGGAACACATTATAAATAAAAATGTGCCTGTACTTGTTTATGATCAGAATATTTAGGGGAGTCAGCGAAAAGTCATTAATACTGATTCTGCGGTTTTTTCCACCTAATTTTTATTTATTTTGAACGTGTTTAGAATAGCGACTGAAACATGTATCATGACGGGACCTCTGTTAGCGGTGTTTTATTAGATTGGGTTGGAGGACTCCCCTGAATTATTTTTTTTCAACCAGCATATTGAATTAATGTGCCACACACTGGAGAATTTTTTAGTGTGTGGATTGGATTTCTGCCTTCTAGGAAGTTATGATATAGTTAAAGGAACCAAATATAAATGAATTATATCTGATTGATGCTTTCAGAAAGGGGTGGACAAAATATGAGCACTGTTAACTTACTTCATATGTAAACATATAGTTCCTACTATGAGTTAAGCACTGCGCACATCACTGGGAGATGAGGTGCCGAACTGCTGAAGTAAAGGACTGATATTTTAAACAAGGCATTAAAGAATGAGTGAGAGTTTTATCAGTGGAGAAAAGAAGTAGCATGTGCAAAGGTATGGGGGTTTTTGCAATGACAAGAACCCAAGAATGAAGTCACTGGAGGATAGTGTTGGGTGGGGGGAAAGAGGGTGGAAAATGAAGTGATAAAAGGTACAGGTGGATACAACTTCTGAAAGACTTTGGGTTGCCGTACTCTTAATAAAAAATTGGGTTTCATTACTTGGCTAAGCTATAATTTCTTGGTTAAGTTAGACCTTTTTGGATATAGAAATTGTTCTCAAACTGAATTTTTTATACTCTTTATATGCCAATAGGTCAGCTGCCCCAGTGCCCTAGCTGTAATGATTCTTTATAGATTGCTGTAATAATTTGATTGTTTCTTTACAGAATTGATCTTAAATATGAGATTTCCAAATTTAGCTTTTGTGTTGAATTAGCACTTCTGATTACATTTGAGGATGCCTGTTTGTGTTATTATATAAGTGGGATGTAGGGAAAGTACTTGGATTGAAGGAACAAATTAGGTTAATTGAACCACTTTTTCCTAAAGGATACTGAGTTATATTTCCAAAATTCCCATCTAACTTTAAGTTTCATTTCTTTGTCCAAAGTATTCTGCTGTGTTCTTTTGGAAGGAAGAGGTATAAGAACAGCTTCTTGCTATCAGAGAGCTGAGTGCCAATGGGAATACTATGGGCATTTTTAGTTGAACGGTTATTTTTTATACAGGAAAGCAGGATAAGTGATTAGGATTCCTGGTCCCCACCTAGTAAATGCTAGTGGCTGATTGTTGTCATATGGTAATTTAAGCCAAGTTGACAAATCTTTTTTTCCCCAGAGAATCCTAATTGTTTATTTTCAATGTGAAATATACAGATTTTTATAATACTCTGTGAGCTAAATCCAACACGGCACCAGCTTGCTTCTCTAGTTTAGAGTTTCCAACCTGTACACTTTAGAAATTTATATTTTTATATTTCAGGTTGTGACTCCAGAGGATGAGGTTGGGATTCTTTGATTTGATCTTTGGTTCTGTCTCTGAAATTGGAAAATTAAAATGCATCTATGCACTTTTTTTCCTTGAGATTATATGAAGATAGTAATGAATCAGTCAGAGGCTGAAACTAGATGAGTAGAGTGGTTGGTGGATCACAAGTTAGCAAGAATAATCAAACTTCATCCATCCTGCTCAACTAGTAAATTAGTTATTAAGTACTCAGTTATTCTTGTTTGTTTGTTTGTTTTAGAGTGGGGGGAGTGGGAATAAGAAGAGAAAGCAAGACATCCATTTGTTGTTCCACTTATTTATGCATTCATTGGTTAATTCTTGTATGCGCCCTGATGGGAAATTGAACTTGCAACCTTGGCATATTTGGACGATCCTTCAACCAACTGAGCTATCCAGCCAGGGCCAGTATTCGGTTATTCTTGAAATCTCCTTGATAATTGTAAAAATGATTCAGACTGCATTATGTTTTTTTAATGCAGTGATAATTTTATAAAATAGAATTGTTGACTTTAATTACCATTAATCTCTTCAATGAAAACTAGCATCTGAGTATGACTTTTTTTTAACATTTGTGACAGAATAGCAAAGTTTGATTATGATAATAAGCAAAAATTCCAGTGTTGCAGAGAGATGACAATGTTAATAAAATGGTGGCCTAGTAGTATTTCTAGTGTCTTTAATGCATCTTCACATTTCTGGCGCATGGGAACCATCAAGACCTGGCCCTTAATAGGTACTCAATATTATTGACTTGAATCAAGAAATATCTTTTTTTTCCCCTTAATTTTGTTTTCTTTATTGATTTTAGAGAGAGAGGAAGGGAGAGGGAAAGAGAGATAGAAACATCGATGAGAGAATATCAACTGGCTGTCTCCTGAATGCCCCCCACTGGGGATCAGACCCACAACCTGGGCATGTGTCCTGACCGGAAATCGAACCGGCAACCTCTTGGTGCATGGGTCCACACTCAACCACTGAGCCACACCAGCTGGACTGAATCAAGAAGTATCTTTAATGAAATCTTATTTTCAAAATAATTATGTTCTTACAGAAATTCATTTCTTGAATGCCTGCAATATGGCTATGTCAGATCTTAGGGATACAAAGAATAATCACATATCTTATTCTCCCACAGGCATTTTTCACAAATAAAATGTAACTGCATATATCTTCAGCAGGACAAATAAAAGTCTGTTAAAATCAAATATTTGAAGTCATACAGACCCTGTCTTATAGTTGAATTATAGTATTCTGATCCCTTCATAATAATTAGCAATTTATACATGTTAGGCTCCGTGCTAAACCTGTATTCATTTCACTCTCACAACCATCCTACAAGGTAAGTGTAGAAAAACTATTTTCTCCTTTGTATAGATATGGTGAACGAGGCACAGAATCCATAGGAAAATTTGGCAGGAACCCAAAGCAGTTGAACCAGAATCACAACCCACCCCAAAATCACAGTAGTACTGCAAAGCCTAAAGAAGCATGTAGTGGACTGAAAAATAGGAGCTAGTCATATTAGGCATTTAGGTAGTTTACTTCTAAGAATCAGCTTTTGACTTTTTAAAAATCTCTAAAATCGGGTGTTATGACTAAATAATATTTTAAATTTCCTTTCAACTCAAGAATTCTTAAATTATAGGAATAGTCCATGAAGAAAGGTGGGAAATGCTAAAACAATAAACCATGAAAAAAAATTTGCTCATTTTAGAAGTAGAGCACGTCCAAATGTAAAGCTTGAATTATTACTGTAAATTAAATCAAAGGAATTGACTACACTTAATTTCACTAGTCTCATAAGAATTTTTTTTTATCCTCACCCGAGGACATTTTTCCATTTTTTGTTCAGGTAGAGTGGGAGGGAGAGAGAGGAACAGAGAGAGAGAGAAACATCGACGTGAAAGGAACACATCGAGTGGCTGCCACCCGCACAACCGACCAGGGCCGGGGACAAACCGCAACCGAGGTACGCGCCCTTAGGGGGAACCGAACCCGCGTCTCTCTGGACCGCAGGCCGACGCTCTAACCGCTGAGCCAAACTGGCCAGGGCTCATAAGAATTTTATATAGTTAGTTGGAGGTTGGATTTTAGGAACTACTATTTCTCTCAAATGAATCCTCCTCTTAATGACTTAAGACAGTGATTTTCAACCTGTGTGCCAACAAGAATTTTTAAAACATGCAATACTTCACTAGTCAGGGACACTGACCTTTTTTCCCTTAGATTGTCAAATTAAAAAAATAACAAGAGCAACACAACAATAGCCATCTGGTATGAATGAATCTCTTTTCTTTTCTTTTTTTTTTGTCAGATTGGAAAAATATTTTTTGATGTGTCACAGAATTTTTAGTAATTAGTTTATGTGGGCTATGAGATGAAAAATACTGGAAACTGCTGACTTAGGAAATGTGTGTTTTCTATTGATCTTAGAGAATTGATCAAATCTGTGTTGTTAGTATTTTTACTAAAAGCTCTTCTCTGATGGCTTCTTACTAGTTCTGAATTTTTGAGGTGATGTTACTGGTTCTTTTGACTGAACCAAGTGTAAACTTTCAGTTTCATTTGGATGGTTTTGTAACCATTCAGCCCATGTGGCTCAGTTGGTTGAGCGTCCTCTCATGCACCAAAAGGTCACACGGGTTCAGTGCCTGGTCGGGTGCGAATGGGAGGCATCTAGTTGCACATCGATGTTTCTCTCCCCCTCTCCCTTGCTCTCTCTAAAATCAATAAAAACATAACTCTTCGATGAATAGGGAGGTATAAATAAGTATGCTTTCTCTGTGCAGAAGTTCACTGTAGTTCAGGGAGTGCCGCTCTGCAAATTTATAGAGCATTTATAAAAGGTAACTGCAGAAGATAGTCACAGCCTAAACTATTTTCCAGTCATCAGCATTACTATTTTCTCTGGCCTGAAATACTTAACGTAAGTGCTCATCAGTACCTGGCAGTGTATTTAAAACTTAATGGTAGACAAAACGGTCTGACACAATTTGAGCTTGCTATAGCAGCAAAGTTTTACCTGTTTTGGTGCTCTCTCCTCTGAGACAAGCCGTTATATAGACTCAGATAGTGTAAAAAAAGAAAACAAAAACATAAGGGTGGAAAAGCAGCTGTTTTCAGGTATGATGAGGAAACTTTTTAGAAAAGAAATAAGATTTTAATTGGATGCTCAAAAATGCAAACAGGCTTTTGGGAAAGTGAAAGATGATGAAGGAAGGTTAAATTGACCAAAGCCATAGTACAGTCAGGTATTGTTATACTTAATCCTAATATGTTTTGCTATAGGTGTTGGCATGTACAGATAAGGAAATCTAGGAACCCTAGGAAATATAGTTGGTATATGGGAACTGACACACACACAAACGTGTATACATACACACGTATACATACATAAATGGAGGGGGGGGCTTTAGTGATACATAGTGTATTTATGACTCAAGTCGCTAAATACACTCTCTAGTTTTCTAGTTATAATGGAGCTTGAGGTATAGTTGGTTTAGTTATGCATTATGGTATCTTGAGTGGAATTCCAGTTACCAAAAGTTTGATTTTCCATTTAATTTTTTTTATCATGGAAAATTTCACGCATATTCAAAATTAAAAGAATAATGTAATATGAACTCTGATCAGCCATTCACCCAGCTTTAGTGATTACCCCCTCATAGTAATTAGCATGGAACTGTGTAGAAATTGGGACATCACCATTGACTTAACTATGTAACCTTAGTTAAATTAATCTCTTGATTTTATTTTTTTAAACTGTGAGATGGCTCTCTACCTCACTAAGTACTCTCTGCCTCATAGAGTTGTTATGATTATTCAAGGACAAAAGGAACATGAAATAGTTATTGTAGTGTGGAACTTAGCCTGTTACTGGCACTCAGCAATATTAGTTTCATTTCTTCTTTCATAGAAAAATGCAGTAAATGTCCACTTGTACCTCACTTGTGACTTGAGGCTGGCATTTCGCATGTGATTTTTGTTTAGGAAAATGCAGGCAATTATTTGCTGTGTTAGGTCTTTATGGGTATAATGACTTATGGCTCTATTTCTGAGGCTCTCTTGCCCCCATGTTTTCTTAGAGCAAAATTGTCCAGTAGAAATATAATGCAAGTTATGTTTTATTTAATCCAACATGTCTAAAATATTACTATTTTAATGTATTCAATATGAAAAATCTTTAGATGCTTCACATTCTTTAATTTCGAGTTTTCAATATCTATATACTTTACACTTCAAAGTGCATCTCTAATTTGGACTATTTTAAGTATTCAACCACATGTAGCTAGTGTCTGCACTGTTAGATGGCACAGCCATAGAGTTCCACAAGGTGTTCACATTTTCTATGTCCATGTCTTCTGCCGTCATGGGAGAGAGCTGTGGCAGAGATAGAATTAGGATTCAGATTTTCTTCGAGCTATTTGGTCAGTCTTCTAAAGATTCCTAATTGATTACTTTTTTATTTATTCTTATGGAGATGTATCAGCTTAATTCCAGGTGATTATTTGTTAAATCTCTGAAGTTATTAATGGTAGTAATGAACTATAATTTTAATTTGTCTATTAAAATTAATTTTATGTAATAGTTATTTGGCACATATATGTATTAGGAACTATGTGAGGAAATTGAGTACTGAATAGTTTATAGTAGTTATGACGCCATTCTAAATGATAGTATATTTTTGTTTTTTAAGATTGCAGCAAAAATTGGAGGTGATGCTGGTACATCACTGAATTCAAATGACTATGGTTATGGAGGACAAAAAAGACCTTTGGAAGATGGAGGTAAGTTAAAGCCATACGTATTTAATTGTTTTACACAGTTTAGTTGAAGTAATTTTTAATATTTTTCTAATGTTGTATGGACATTACTTTTATCATAAGGTTCCTAAAATTGTAAGGCTTATTTTGGCCTCAAAAGGAAAGGGGCGGGGGGCGGGGTGGGGAGAGACCTAGACAAGGTAGGTAAAATTTGAGTCAACCAGCCAGTTTTTATCTTATTAGAAAACATCGTTTTTCTTCTTTTAAGATTGTGCCAGATTGACAGTTTGCACAGACGACTTGCTAATATGGTGGCGGGGGGTGGGTTATGAAAATACAAGTTAATTGTTTAGGGGACATTTCACAGGTTTTTCTCATCATACATAAATTAATCTTTATATGCTATATTTTCATTGTTTTGCTATTTCAGATTTCACTTTAAAGGTTGAAGTTGCTATAGTTTGCTATTATAGTGTGTTGCAGGCTATACCATTTTTTTGTTATATTTCTTTTTATTTTAGTACCTTGTTTTGTGTTTCAGGTTTAACTCAATGTGGCTTAAAGCAGTAGATTTACAGTGCCTTATATTTTTAAAAAATATATAATTGTTGAAGTTTCTGAACTTAGAAGTTGGCACATATTTTTGTTTTAGATTTGATGTATGAATTTTGATACAATTTCTTTTTTTATATATATTTTTTTAAAGGAGGATTCTGAATGAGCCTATAGAATGTATTTGTAGCTTTTGACCAGGAGTACTTGGTTTTATTAAGTGACTTTCACATATATAGTGAGGTTTTAATATACAAAAAAAATGAGCTAATGATGCTTCAGATGTTGTATGTAATGTATTCTTTTTATTTTATGTGTAGATGGCTCTTGGACAAGTCCGAGCAGTACAACACACTGGGAGGGAATGCCCTCTCCTTTTAAAGGCAGGAATTTTTATTTATTACCTGTGTTTAGTATGTAAACGTGAAATAAACCAGTGGATTTCTTATATGGACACAATATTTCTTGGATTATGTGTCTGAATTTTTGCTGTACAACATTCTGATGTTTAATCATTTACGTTTGAAGGGGGGAGGAGAATAGTACTTTAAGCTATTGGTTGTCTATTCTTAAGGTATGCATTGCATTCATCTGTAAAGGGCGTAGATGAAGGTAGTCACGTAGTTGCTTTGAGTTTCTGCTGAAGTTTATGCCTTGAAATGTTTGGTGAAGAACAATAGAACAGTTTAGATTGAGATTGCCTTGTAATGTCATTTTAAAATTTATTTTGCATAGCTTTGTGGTCACTGTCAGATACACTCAACTTCTGATATGTCAAATTTTCACATTTTGATAGGTCTTTTTTTTCTTCCAGTCTTCAGTTTCTACAGTGGGAAGCATCATTAGCCTTTAGCATGTGATATTTTGCTAGTAATGGACCTAAATACTTTGTCTTAAAACATTCTAAAGTGCTTTACATACATTAAGGTCAGTGATTTGATACAATCAAAAGAATTTGTAAAAAAAAAAAAAAATGTCTGTGCATTTTTAAACATGAATAGTTTGGTCTAAGTTTTGGCACTTTGAGTTCAAATGACACCATACCCTCAGCTACCTCAATCAATGTTTATATTGATATTCTTGCTTGGGCAGGGGGAACTGATTCTTATATATGTACTTATTGGCAAAAATTAAAAGACTCTTAATTTTGCAGATCAACCAGATGCTAAGAAAGTTGCTCCTCAAAATGACTGTAAGTATTTATTTGAAATTAGGTTAAAAAATAAAGTAACTGGATTTTAATCAGAATTTTGTTCCTATCTTTTGTTGGTTATATTTGAAGTTAGTTGAAGGCCATGAATATTATTTTTTAATGAAGTTCTTTGTAAAAATGTACCTCCGATCTTTATGATCTCTCACTTCAATTATGACCGGGCATATAATAGTGATATTTGACTGCTAAATTGTTTTACATTATCAGTTTATGTTATTCCTCCATTTCTTAATCTATGCTCGCACCACTTGAAAAAGGACGGTTTCTTTTATCGATATCATTGCTAGTAATGTCTGTCCTTTTACTGACTATTTTTGCCTACTGTCGGTGTTGATTTAAGTATTCTGCATATAGTTTTACTCCCTTCAAGATGTTGTTTGAGCATCAGGGAAAGATTTTAGAGTTGCTTGATAAGGCTGCATTAAAAATATGTAAACTTGAATTTAAACTTTCATTTTTTATTTAATTTTTTGGTAGCTTTTGGAACACAGTTACCACCGATGCATCAGCAGCAAAGGTATAGTCAAATGCTTTTCAAAGAGTACTTTGCAAGTTTTAGTTGAAGTGGAAGTAAAACACAACCAAGTTAGTGTATGGTGAATATGTGTCTGCCCTTATTTTGTGTGTGTGTGTGTACATATAATTCATTTCCTTCAACTTAAGAAGGTGATACAATTGATCTTTTTTCTCTTTGAGTGAGGTACATTTGTAGTTTGGAAGAATGGGTGTAATTAGCCACATTTTAGAAGAACTAAGGTGAATTAAAATACCATTTAAAAAAAAAACAGTTATGATGATACTCCCTGAACTCTGTTCCATCTGTGCATGCCTTCAGACTGTTCCATCCACCATACCCTCCTCACTTGATGTGTGTTACCTTAATTAAGATTTTGGCTTTAACTACTCAAGCCATATTTTAGATTTAAACATGTTCCTGGAACCCTGGCTTGAGCCATTAGGAGCCATTAGACTTCCATTTTTATCAGTAGAGTGCCTTTTATATGTAAATAAATTGTCTTGCTTTGAAGGAAAATGTTAGTTTCTGGTTTTTTTTTAGCAGGTCTGTAATGACTGAAGAATACAAAGTTCCAGATGGAATGGTTGGATTTAGTAAGTAACCTAATTTTTAAAGCTTTGAAAGCATAATCAAAACATACTTTACAATCTTTCAGCAAACAATTCTCTTTTGTCTTATTAGTAATTGGCAGAGGAGGTGAACAGATCTCACGCATACAGCAGGAATCTGGATGCAAAATACAGATTGCTCCTGGTAATGTTCTTTTACTATTTTCATACCCAGTAGAAAATGAGTGTATTTTTAAGCTGCTAGTGAAAATTATAGTATTTGTTGATCTTTCCTTAGCCTTAAAGTTTTTTGTTTTGTTTTAAATTTTAGACAGTGGTGGCCTTCCAGAAAGGTCTTGTATGTTAACTGGAACACCTGAGTCTGTCCAGTAAGTATGAAAATCATGTGTCTGAGGCCAGCCTCTTCTTCCTACTGAAGAACATTGCCTTTGCAATTGAACTGACTTTCTCCTGCACTATT